TCTCTCTCACTCCTTCTCTTGCTTCTTCCACCGTCGCCGTGGCAATCAGATTGAATGCGCGTCATCATCGTTCTCGTCCTCGTCGTCATAGCTGGCTTCCCGTTCGCTCACGCTCCCGGCTTATTCCCTTTTTGCCGTCCCTCGCCCTTTCTCACCCTCCTCCCGTCGCCGCGTGTTTCCCTTAGTGACACGAAGGTGAAACGACGGCGGACGGGAGAGAAACGGAGAGAGGGAGGAGGTGGTCTGATTGCGAGCGACGAGGGGGAGCCTGATTTTTGCCATGCAAATTTATGAGAATAAAGAAAAGCGACAGAAGGAAAACGGCTTTTGTCCCGCGTTTTGACTGGCGGCCGAGTCTCGCAGAGGGAGGGGGAGGGGGGGGAGTGTAAACGTGTACAAGGCACCGTTGTGACGCCGCGATGGGAAAGTCATTGATCCCGGGCGATAGCCGGGACGCTCGCTCGTCTCCAGAATGCGAAGACGGGCGAGTAGCGTAGACCCATCGAGATCGATGGGTCAGCCTAACGACGGACTTCCGACTAATTTGTAAACCGGGGCGCGCCGTCCCGAGCGAGAGAGGATTCTCGGTGCCCTTTTCTCAAATCGGAGCGTATACCACGCGCAGGAGAAAACGTCGACTCGATTTGGTCCCGCGAATGTGCTTCCTCCGCACTTTGGCTTCCTACATGCCAAGGTTTCCCTCAGGCTCCACGTATCATGTTTTTTTTCGTAAGTGTTCGTTAAACTCGCGATACACGTGACACGGACTCCCGAGATTCAAGATTCTCTCGCGATATTCGCTTTTCTTCCCGGCGTTACATTAGCACTTTTTATTGTAACTTTCTTCTTCTTCTTCTTCTTCTTCTTCTTCTTCTTCTTCTTCTATAGGTCATTGTTAGACCAAATCCTAAATTTGTCGAAGTTTCTGCGAACTTTTTCTTATCTTAGTTTTTACAAATCCGTATACGAGGCTGTGTACATTGTACAGAAAGACGATCGGTTTCACGATGGGGCTTTAAGCCCCATCTACATAAGTCACAAACGCACAACGCAAACGCAAACGCGGACATTTCTCTCTTTCTTTTCTTTTATTTTTTGACGTTTCGTTCTTTTTTTTTCTCCGCGTTTGCGTTTGCGTTGTGCATTTGCGACTTATGTAGATGGGGCGTAAAGATCGCGTCGAGAAATCAGTTAAATATTGCTTTTCGATCGAGATTTTTTTGTGACGTATATAAATATTACTTATATATGAGAGATGAATACTGCTTTCAGTCGTTTCTCTCAATTTTACATTTAATACGAAAGACCCGACATGAGCTGCTGATACGGAGAATGTAATATAAATGTTATTCGCGAAACTCTCGACGATTGAGATCTGGAAATTCGAGAGATGAGTTCGAGGCTTTGTAATCCCGCGTATATATATATCTATTTACGCGATTGAAGATAGCCCAGATATCGGGATACATATGCTCCGACGGTAATAACGTCCAATAATATCGCCGCGGGGCTGCGTTCAATACTCGATTTCAATATCCGCGAATCGGCGCGTGCGTGCGCCCGATATATATGTGCGTTACAATTTTGCGCTGTTACTTCGATTTCTCTCCGCGGATCTCGCTCTCAAAACTGCCGCCGAAGCGCCGCGCGTGGCTTGACCCAGATATCGAGGTTCGAACAAGGCGTTCCATTCTCATGGTACGCGACGAAATCGAAAGAAAGAGATTTCGAAATGAAACTTCGAAAATTTTCAAAACGTTCCGCGCTGATTGCAGCAAAAACGGCTGACGAAACGCCGTCGTTTGCAATAATGCGCGTAAACACACATATGTTCGAGACACGGTGAATTAATCTATACGTGCCGCCGCCGCTGCCCGATTCCCGATACATCGCCCGATGATCGCCGAGAAACGCTCCTTTTAAGAGCGCGTTTCGCTCATCATCCGCGCGCCACGGCCACGGGTTCGCGGAGTTCGTTTACGTGTTATCGATTCGCCGGCGAATTATAGACGCGCTCGGTGTGTTATTTATGCTAATGTGTGCGAGGCACGAAGTCGAAAGCACGACGGCGCGGCGTAAGCGGCGTCGAGAACGTACAGAGCGTAAAGTATCTCCCACAGAAGGGGGGAATTAGAGCCGTCGCGGTGCAATATGGTATTGTAATGCACAATTGTTATATCACGACGATGAGGGGAAAGCCTCGCGCGGAATTATTAGTTTACTGCAATCTTCGAACTTAACGCGCGGCAATGGAGTAAATTAACCGGCTGGCGACGTGCCAGTAGTTCAAATCGATTCGAATGCAGGCTGCACGAAATGGGACAACAAATATAAAAAGGAATGGAGTTATTTTTCAATGATTTGCTATTCAAAGAGTTTTTTTCCTGTGCTGAAAGTTTATATTTTTTTACATATTTTTATTTTTATTATCTTTTCGATAGACAATATTCTACATTGAAAGGATCGTTTATCCATTACGATACAAATTCCTCACATAAACGGCGTGTAAAAAAATATGAGATTACGCAACGCGATGGCAAGTATTGCTACAAAATGATATATTCTTATATTAACGACAAAGAAGCGATTAAATCCAATCGTCGATGTGTAAATGCCTTACACCTGAAGTTACGCATGTACGTTGCACACGCCCGTGTGCATCGTACCCGATCCCTTACGTAATTCCCACCGCGTACTCTTGCGGTACGAAAGTTGCATTCACGCCGCAATTTCGTGCCGGCAAATTCCCTCGAACGTCGAGCATTATACGTCGACATGAAGAAATTATCGATGGATTATTGTTGCCGGGCCTGCATGCAGGAAGCTTCACTTCTCGCGAGTTCCGAACATTTTTTTCCTTTCCGCGAGCTGTTCCTTCCCGCGTAAGCGTCAATTAACGCTCGGCCGATTAACTTCGGCGGGAGGAAAAAAAACCCCGTAATTTTCTTCGGTCGTCTCCGAGAATTTCAGAACGTGCCTCACTCGAAGCGAGACACCCGGTACATACCCGCGACCCATATTCATATCTCGCGTTTACCCTGAGTATATGTAAATAATTATCAGCTCGCGATAGAGCCCGCGCGTTAATGTCGCTTGGAAAAAAGTAAATAGAGCTGCTTGTCGCCGTACGGATAGGCAAATACGTCCGAGGGGCGGAGGGGGGAAGAAGAGTCCGGGAGGAGAAGTCCCCTTCGTATTTACGTTTCCGGTTCGATTATTATTGCACGACTGCGTCAACTGCGTGTGTACCGCCGCGTGCGTGGCGCGCGGAAACGGGGGATAAAAAGGTGAGCGTCGCGACGGCGCGCTCGCTTGTTCCGGCGAGCCGGCGACGCTTTCCGTGCCATGCCATTCATGCGCGTTGCACCCTGTTTACTGTTTCTCCTTTTTTTTTCCCCTCCCTTAACGACGACCGGAGAAACAAACGGCACGTCCCGTGGACGGTTATAGGTGTAGTCGCGCGCGCGAATCCCCCCGGCCGTTGTCGGCTCGTTATCTCGATCGTCGATCGAGAATGGCGACGTTTATCAGACGAGCGAGATTCCCCGTCAGGAGGAGATACAGTGAGTTCCCCCCTCCCTCCTTTTTTTTCTTCTATCTCTCCGGTAGCCTTTTCGGGACGGAGACGACCTTTTCACGCCACGAGTCGTGTTAATAATCGGGCTCGGCGTTCCGCACGGGCCCGATTATTATCCGTGCGAGTTAATTAATGGTACCGGTCGGTCATTGATTGCACGCGGGTGATCTTCTCCCTTACACGGCCGTGAGCATCTTCTTCCTCTTCTCGCGCTTGTCTGGCCAGTCTGGCGCAAGCGGGACCGTCCTGCTCCGAAACGGACAGTCCCGGCTGCCGTCAAATTAACCGGTGTTTGCGGTGCCGAGTCCGAGCCTCTTTCGGAGCGATGCTTAACTTTCGAAGCCTTCCCTTTTTACGTAATTTAATGACTATATTTATCAAAATAATACGTGGTAAATCATATGTATTACAGTCTTGTGTTTACATAACGTCCAAAAGCATTAAGCGAATATTCCTTGCTCATGCCACCTAAAACGGCAACACTTAAACAAAATGCGAAAATCTCTTTTGGTAAGCATCGCTGCATTTGCAGGCTCGATTTTTTAAATATAATTCCAATATGTCCATCTATGGAGTAATATCCATTCTATTTAATTTATTAAATGGAGTAATTTAGATTTCTAACTGTCCATTCTGTAATTTTTTCGAGCTGTACGTAAATATTTTACAGGTATTTCGATAAAGTAATGGTTTTCGTATCTTAATTTTTCAATATTTTTTTAAAGAGAATCTTCGATGGGTCAAGTCGATCTGATAATTTCTCTTAAAAATCCAATAAATATCCGTAATATAATTTCATTCTCAGAACATTGTACAATTTATTGTTTCATATTTTATGAAAATCGTCTCCTTATCTCTCGGCGAGCCTAGAAACGATGCCGAGAACGTCACGTTACGTAATCGGCATTACGTTTTTACGAGGCTGTATTTCAGTTGTGTATAATGCAAAAACTTCCGGTTTAACCAAAAAAAGAAAGAGAAGTTATGTCGAAAGAGCGCTTACATTGCCCACAATTCTCTTCCCCCCCCCCCCTCTCTCCCTTACGTATATATAATACGCGCGATTCTCCCGCCGCTTGTTACGTGATTCCGCACAATTGCATAATGAATTTTCCGACAACGAATGAATGTCAGACCTTGATTCCCGCGGACGATCCATAACAATCTCTTGTTTTACAACGTAAATCGGCGCACGTGGTTCAAATTCCGTTCCTGCCGCATCAAATTAGAGGACGAGCATAACTTACTTCATCGTAAAACTTTCGTATTATCTGTTACAATTTATTTATTGGTCGATCGGCCGATTTAATTTACGCATCTCCATCCTGCTCTTTCCTTTAATTCATCCGTATTCTATTGAATTTAATTCTTGGAGTATCTCTCGATCGAATCATTCACGTGACGAAATGTTTTTGTCCTTCAGGTAAATCTCCGTTCTTCCCGAGTCTCGAGGAGCAAGGGCTGGAGGATCCGAATGCGCCGAGCCAGCTCGACGGCGTCGGCGTCGGCGTCGGGGTAGGCGTCGGTGTCGGCGTGGGCGGCGGGATAACGGCGTCCCAAGCGGCGCCGCTCTCATCGCCAAGTCGGAGCAGTCCGCACAGCCAGGGCAGCGAAACCGGCGAGCGTTTCTCCAGGAAAGTCTTCGTCGGCGGACTACCGCCTGACATCGACGAAGGTATGCAAATCGTATTACATCATCCAATAATAAAGATAAATTATTATTGCGAGACAGGACGTAACAGAGCGTGTTATTAATCACACGCGCATCTTTTCTCAATTCAGACGAGATCACAGCCAGTTTCCGCCGCTTCGGTCCGCTCGTCGTGGACTGGCCGCACAAGGCAGAAAGCAAATCCTACTTCCCGCCGAAAGGCTACGCATTTCTGCTGTTCCAGGTATGCCTTCGTCTCCTTCCGTTTCTTTCTCTTTCATTTTCGGATTACGTAAATTAGTAAAACTAACAGAAGCAGTATAATGACAATCGAATGCCACGGGACTGTTTGGTATTCTAGGATGAGGGTTCAGTGCAACAGTTAATAGATGCCTGCATCCAGGACGAGGACAAGCTCTACCTTTGCGTAAGTTCTCCCACGATCAAGGACAAGCCCGTGCAGATCCGACCTTGGCGGCTCAGCGACGCCGACTTCGTGCTGGACGCCTCCATGCCGCTGGATCCGCGAAAAACGGTCTTCGTCGGCGGGGTGCCGCGACCGCTCAAGGCCGTCGAGCTCGCGATGATCATGGATCGGCTTTACGGTGGTGTCTGTTACGCCGGCATCGACACCGATCCCGAGCTCAAGTATCCCAAAGGTGCCGGCAGGGTCGCCTTCAGTAATCAGCAAAGCTACATAGCTGCCATCTCAGCCAGATTCGTACAGCTGCAGCACGGCGATATCGACAAGAGGGTAAGTACGAAGAGTAATTGAATACCCTTTCACTGTGCTCTTCTTTCTCTGAGACGGTTCTCAAGTGAATAATGCCTCCAAATGAGGCATTTAGGACAAGAATGGAAGATCTAAATCTGTGATTTGTAGGGCTGTTTTAAAGATAGGACTTTACAAATTATGAGCATTGTTTTTCTGAACAATTATTCCTGTTCTAAACTTCAAGCGTTTCGTATTTTCTCTGACCTTTCGAATGATCTTTCGAACAGGTTGAAGTCAAACCATATGTTCTGGACGATCAGATGTGTGACGAATGTCAAGGCCAGCGTTGCGGAGGCAAGTTTGCACCGTTCTTCTGCGCCAACGTCACCTGCCTACAGGTATATTTCGATCATCGGTTCTATTATTAGATAGTAAACTGTAAAGTAAAAGCGCGGCTTTTATTATCAATTAATTTAAAACTGAAGTTTTGATATTCTTATGCGAATGTCATGGCAAAGACTCCATTAAAATTAGATCTTACGATTTCCACTGAGATTTTATCAAAGATTGTAAATGGAATTTTACTTGGCTCAAAATTAGTCTTAATTTTTAGTAACAAACAAAGATTGAAGACTCCATTATGGCTTTATTTTAATAATTATTTTGATAAAATAATTATTTTATTGAGTTAATCCGTAATAAAATTGGTCTTTTCTCTTGTATTAACAAAAGAGAAGATTAATATTTTTTTTGTGAACTTAATAATGAAATCCGAATCATAATACTGTCTTCTTTCAGTACTACTGCGAGCATTGCTGGGCAACTATCCACTCCCGGCCAGGTCGGGAGTTCCACAAGCCACTGGTGAAGGAGGGCGCGGATCGGCCTCGGGCCGTGCCTTTCCGCTGGTGTTAACCCCAGCTGCGTTGTCCCTAATTATCTCGCAGCCCTAGCTAATTAACTACCACCTCTACCAATATTCCCCCCACCCTCCCCTCACGTGCCCTCAACCAACCCTCACTTTCCTCTGCCCCCCGCCCCATACTACTTACTTACTTACCTACAACAAGAACACAGCCTCAAAACTGCTATTACTACTACTACTATTACTACTACTACTACTACTACTACTACTATTACTATTACTACCACCACTCGATCGTTACGTACTACCACTACTCTACTCTACTACCACTATTATTACTATTACTACTACTACCACAACTACTATTCTACTACAAATTATTACTACTACTACTACTCCACTACTTCAAGTTGTACCGGTTATACTGGAGGAAGAAACCAGCCCCTGTTGCCCGTCAATCGATGCAGGCTCTCGGCGTCGCTCCGATCTTCAACCTCGCATCCGTAACGACTTGCTAACGGCCGCCGGTATTGTCGTCGGGCCAAAAAACTGTGCCGATCTAGATGACTTTGTCGAAACCGGAAACGGATCTCGCACTCGACGAGGGCGCCGGAAGACAGCAAAAGAAAAGGGAGGACGATCGGATCCACGCCGAGCCGATATCGTCGATAAGACTAGAAGAAGAAAACGAAGAAAGACATACACCGAGACACAGGATTTATAAGAGAAACGGACACGGATTCTCAGTATATCGATTACTCGTACACGTATAATCCTATCTGTCTGCGCTGTAAAATGCACCGGTTCTGTCCGAAAAAGATCGAGTATTGTTAGTTACCGCGAGTCTCGAGGAGCGAGCAAAGCGAGGGAGGGGCTGCCGCCGTCGCCGCCGCCGCCCTCGCGTATACGCACCCCGCGCCGACCGCCGGCACCGACATCCTCCTCGAGTGTGTTTCACCGAAATCGCCGACAGCGCGATTGCGATACGGATCCGCCTCGTCGCTTGCGTCTCGATCCGCGCCGCGGATCACCCCTTCCGAGTCCGACTGCCGCGTGCCGCGAGAACGAAGGAGTTCCACTCCCCCCGTTGCCGTCCATCCCGGTCGAGCGGGATTTTGATTTTGCGAAGCGCGACCCGGATGGATGCGGGCGGAAGCGACTTCTCGGCGAAGTCGGGACTCGTGTTTTCCCGCCGACGTCGTCCATTTCGGACGTGAGCCCGAAACCGATAACCCGCGCTCCCGAGCGACGTAGTGATTCCCGGGCGACGAATGTTCGTAAGAAACGCGAGTACCTGATCCGACGCGAGAGTGTGTTGCCAGAGTGAGCGAATGGGATTGGAAGAGCATGTGAGAGAAAGAAAGAGACGAGGGAAAAGTGACGAGGTGATAGTGGAAGCAGTGAGGTCGGAAAAGACGCGTAGGTGATGAGGGCCGGTGGGAAACCTGGAAGAGGTGATAGGAAGAGGATAGAGACGAATCGTTCGCATTGGATGTTAATCAATAATGAAAAAAGCCACGCTTCAATCTCCGCTGTGTAGGTAATTCTTTGTATCACAAACATAAAAAACACACACACATACACACATACACCCGTACATACATATACACACAGTTTCCTAGTAATTAAGAACTTAAAAATATGTTACATAGATGCGTTGCGTAATGCGTTTCTCGTGCGGATTAACGCGACCGCGCGCTCGTAGGGAGATAATTGAGAAAATGATTTTTTACCAATTAACTTATTCAAATGAGAAGGAAATAACGTAGAAGAAAACACAAAAACGAAGGAGAAACATAAACCGAGTTTAGAGGGAGAGGTGTCACGTACGGGCGACGGAAGGAGGGGTAAACGAAAACCGAACTAGTTCAATTCTTCAAGCGCGAGCGAGCTGTGTGCGACACCGTGGCGGTGTGCTCCAGGTTGACCGGGCCTGCCTAACTCAGCATCCGCGTGCCGGGTCCTCTGCCAATTTTCTTCCCTTCCCCCCCTCCCCCGAAAAAAACCGATGCGAGTTACCTTTATGATACTTCGCGCGGGAAACGGAGGGGTCGCGAAGCCGAGCTCGAGCGCGTGTCGTCCGCCCGCGAAGGGGAAAGAGAGTCCGCTGCTCGCTCGCGGAGGGACGCGTGGTCCGAGGGTTGTTGCCGCTACCGCCGTCGCTCACGCATTTTACATCCCGACTTTACTACTACTATGTGCAATATAAACGATCACTCTCTCCGTGGTCGGCTGACGAGAACGATCGACGATACGTGAAATGTGTTTTCGGAATGTGCAATTTCCCTCCTCCCCGAGAACGCTCGATAGTAAGTCCGCGAACATCCGCATCTGAGCCCGTACTATCCCTCTTCTTCGCGAAACGAGCGGCGTATCTCGCGGATCCTCTCTCGCGGCGAAACGATCTCGCGCTCGATCTCGCGGGGGATAAGAAAAAGAGACGCGCGTGCGGGAGGGGTGTCGTTTCTCGAAACCAAAGTAGCGATAGAAAAACCGTGACTCGCGGAATACCGGAGCGACGTGTTATACATAGAATGATCGTATCTAATTACTCTCTTCATACGTCCGATAGATGATTTGCAAGAGTGCGCGACGCGTCTTGAGGGGTCGCGTTTCTCTCGCGCGGAATACTACTATAGATTCGTACATTATATATATATATATATATGTACATATATATATATATTATATATATATATATATGTATATGTATATACATATAGAGAATGCCGCATGTTGTCCGCTCCTGTACATATATACCGATCCCTCTCCTCTAATCGATTAACCGGCGTTTATTAATCGCGACCGCGAGTGTGCACGTTTTCTTAATCCCTTCAGAAACGAAACGGACTTCTTCGCTGGGTGTATATAATCAAACGCAATCTCGCCGTAGTTCAAATAAAAGGATAAAAGAAAAAAAGGACAAGGGAGGGGAGAAAAGAGTTCACTTTTCGCCGAGATACAGGATTTCTATTCTCGAGAGGTTCAGTATAGGGAGAGAGAGAGAGAGAGAGAGAGAGAGAGTCTTGGTTGGCAGATCGCAGGATCTCCGTAAATTTTAAGCATGACGCTTCCTAGCGCGCGTCCTTTCAGCGGATTCGACGGCGAACTCGGCAAGGTTTAATCGACAACTTTTCGACGCGTTTTACCGTAAACGAAAACAATGTCTCGTACCGTCACTCATCGTCTTTCTCATTCGACAATATTCTGCGGTACATAACATAGGATACTTTTGATAACTAACCCAGTAGTTGAGGAAGCAGGCTTAAGCGTCAATACCGGACGTTCGTCATCTCCCAGTGACCCTTTTGTTGTGCAAAAAAAGGCGTGTCTTTCAACAATACTTCCGACAATAGCCGGGTTGTTCCTTCGCGAGACGGTCGAAAGGCCGTGGCGGCATGGGAAGCGTCGTGCTCGGAATTAGTATGCAACGTTGTGTGTTCCGCTTCGTAGATAATAAAAAAAAAAGCCACATTCTGTACTGTAGCAGCAGCAGCAGCAGCAGTCGGAAGACGTAGTTTAAACCTCGCATGACGAGTCTCTCTCGCGATACTCTTCTTCTGCACACGTATCGGACTTTGTACAATCCGCAACACACACAAACACACGCATACAGATACATACGCAGCACACGGGCCACAATTACATGATCAACAATTACGTGATCGACAATTCGCGATTCATCCGTATTTGCGTACGGATCTAACGAGGAAAGGGACAAAATGAAGTAATCCTTACACACACGTCTATATATACACATATATATTTATTTTTTTGGTACTCCTTTTTGTATATATATACATATATATATATATACATATATGATATATCTTGTCTCGCCGCGCGTAGAGATGATAGGCGGTGGCGTTTATTAGTGCACGGGAGGGAATGCGTTATTATTAGGCGGATGCGCTGCGTGACGGAAGACGCAGCAAGTGAGGCGGCCGCGTTCAACGACGACCCTCCGTCCCTTCGTCTGAGACACACCATTCGGCCCGCAAAGACACGCAGGACACGCGTGCGTTCCGTCGCGGACTAGACTCGCGCGTTGTGCTGATGAAGGAGGGGGGAAAAAAATTAAATAGATCCAATAAGATAGAGCGGGGGGAGGAAGAAATGAGTTCTCGTCGCCGGCCCTCTTTGACTCGCGTGCGCTTTCGACTAAGGTAGATTGGAGCACGATTGGATTCGAGTCCGACCGAAACGCGAACGAAATTTTAGATAAAATAGGAGATGAATAAGAACCAGGGCATGTCCGTAGAAAATCTCGAGTCGTCCGCGCGACCAAAGGTTTTCAGGGAAGGGAAGGAGGTGGGCAAACTAGTATATAATTGTACACATATATTAGTTAGTAGAACGAGTACGTTGAATTTTTCTATCCGTTGCTATATTCTCTCGCAATTCTAAATAGACACGATCGACTTTTTCTTATGCACTTGACGGAAGCCCGAGATCGTTTTTGATCAAGAGAAAAGGATCGACAGGCGAGAGAAGAGGGGATCGATGCGGTATGGAGATTAGCGAAACTCTAAAAAAGAGGCGCGAGAAAGAGGGAAGGATACGACGAAGATAGGCGAGAGGACGAGTGCGAGCATTAGTTAGTGCAATTTTACATACGAGTCACCGAATCTTAGAAGTCGAACGAAAGAGAGAGGAAGAGAGAAAGAAAGAACGAGAGTGAGAGAGAGAGAGAGGAAGAAAGAATGTGGCATAATCCGTGCGGCACACGCAGGCAGTAAATGAATTAAAAAACGCGGGCCGCAATCGGGCATATCCGTGTTGTTATCGCGGGCAAATTTATATATATATATGTATATGAGAAAAATGCCGGCATGCTCGCGTGCGCGGCCGTACGCGTGTGGAAATCACGCGTGTGTGCGCGCGAAGTCGGCTCATATATTAGGCGAAAATTTTTCTCAACCCACACACACGCACACACTTCGCGAGCATGGAGCACGCGTCGTCGACAGGACGCTCGTGCGTGGCCATACATCGCATATAAACCTACACACACACACACACACACACGCACGCACGCACACACACACACGCTCCACTAATCGATCGATATAATTGTGTAGCAAAACTTACCTAGGTACCAATTCACCTAAATCAATTGATAACTAAAAATATATATTGATATATACATATTATATATATAAATATATATTATATATATATATAGAGAGTAGCGTCGTGTTCCAATACTTGAGCGAGCGAGTACTTGGACAAGGACCGAGACCGATTTTTCTAGACAAATTTTTCTATAATGTTCAAAAAACG